CACGTGCAGGCCGGTGCAAATGAGGTCATTTGGGGTGGCATTTAAAGCAAGCAGGGTGACTCCTTGAGGGGCTTAATCACACGAGATTCACATCGAAACGCCTCACCCACAACACCAGAAACTGAGTTCTTGCTCACCTGTACGATTCACAGCGTTGCTCAATACGATCTGGATGCGACATGTTCGTGAACGATTGATCACGAAGTGCCGGAGCCGAGTCCTTAAAATGGTTTTCTTCAGAGCAGTCAGTAAGAGTTATTTTCCGATGTAAAAAAATGGGTAATTAGCGCAGTGTTCGGTTCCTAGAGCTACTTACTAATTACAAATACTAGTAGCGATTTTCTTCTCCAGCGACTATCACTCTGGATGGAGACCTCAACGACACTCAGCTCTCTTACGCTCCAAACCGCACCCTTTCAAATGAGAAAAAAGGCATATACTTCCACCAGGGCACATCCTGTGTTAGGGAAAAATATACAAAAAACACGACCCTCCTCGAGGTTTCCTCCTCTGGTACGACCCTCCCCTCTCCCTCCCTCCATCTTACCTACCATCTTTCTATTCCTCAAAGTTTTTCCCATTCCATTCCCGTTTCCGGAGTCTTTTTTTTCAAGACTTTTTCAGTTTCTCTCCAGCCCCGTTGAGTGACGTGGTATGAGGGAGTGTGCCACTCGTGAAACGGGAAAAACCGAGAAAAGTCAACAACCAAAAAATTGTAGGTACGACCCTCTCGCGACCAAATGCGATCCTCCTCGTTAGGGATGGCCAACACGTACGACGTGTACTACTTCTATAGCCAGTTGCGGACCCACTCACCTCCCACAAGGCAACGATCCACCTCGCAGGTGAGCGTGCTTGTCTTCGATGCAACTTTCATTACTTCTCTCTGAGTAACCAATTCAACCGTAAATCAAATAAATCGTTCAGAGTGTTCACTTACTTTGTTAATAAGAATAAATGCACCGCCCATTGCAAGAAGTGAAAGAATTACACAGATCATGGAGATCATAAAAAGGATGCGACGTCCCATACGTTCAATTAATGCTATCGGAATGAACGTTCCGAAAGCATTGACCGCTGAAAGAAATTTCTTCAGAAATTTATGCTGTGGATTTTGCAGGGAGGAGCTTGAATCGAGCTGAGCTGCACCCCATATCTCCGATATGGGAAGGGCGTGGCTGCGGCTTCATGGGAACGGGCTACGGCTGCACTCTTGCTAAAATTAGGCTGTTAGGCTGGACGAAGACTTGAGTGGTACGATTGCACTCAGCCTTTGAATTTCATTTTCTGATTATTTTTTCTTCTCCAGCTATCTCAGGTTGACCTTTTGGGAGCCCCTAAACGGCGGACTATAAAAGCTGATTACTTGAACCGCGCATGTCAAAAACTGTTCGCTCCCAGCTGACATGTTGGCCATCATGCTCAGATATACTCCTTATTTCCTGCAGACGGGCGTTTCGAACATTCCACAGAGCTGGTTGCTCGTGGGATATTTCAATTTGAGAGACCGCCATCTTGTTCTTGGACAGAGACGTGACCACATTTGGGTCAAAATGATGAGTGCACGTTGCGGAGACAACGTGGCGATATTCGATTGGTGAAAGAAAAGTCGTAAAAATCATCACCTGCAGTGCCGACCGAAATCCATATTGTAGCATGCTTGTCGGTGACACCAGCCGATTGAATAATGTTTGTTGTATAGTACCTAAAAATAAAGGCTATTTCCTCGAGAACCTCCTGAGACTGTAATATACTGCATTTTTCTTGAGTTCTAGGTACCCTGCTAATTAGTTAGCTAGCTTCACTACCTGGAACTATTAGGTTGTTTCGGCAAAGAAGATGACGCGTGTCTGAGTGTAAAAAAATTTTTATAAAAACGAAATTAAACAAGGTCAATCTAAAATAATCTCCATTACTAGCAATGACTTGTTGCCAACTGTACGCAAAAACTTCGCCAAAAGAGCCTCTTTCACTACTTTTCCCCTCGGTGTGTCGTTAGGTCCGCCGGAGAGGAAATGTAGGTCAAAAGAGCCTCTTTTGCCAGTT